GTATTCTATACAATCCAATTGTTACAGTGATCCCTGCAGGATTCCATCAGAAATGGAGGGCGGTTCACTCTGCTTTGAGACGACACCTCAAGGTTTTTTCTTACTGCTAATGTCTGCTCAGAGTCATAGAGCACAGCAGTCTATGAAAATGATACAATTTTCCTGTATCGAATATAGGCTCATCCTGAGGAAGTAATCTGATCTGAAGACGGTCTTTTAAGGTATCAGTGATTGTTGACAGCGAGAAGTAGAAAGCTTTTTACGGCTGGACAAACTCTGCATGGACAACTAACCAGCTCGGACGTTTCTCTGGCAATTTTCCAAAAAGTATGGAATTAGCCAAGGAAAGAACTTTAAGGGTACTCGGGAAAGTCGTAAGCCAATGACTTCGTCTTATTCACGATTATTGGAGCATTTTTTGGGCCCCCCTGGAAATGTCGCAGAAGAGCTATTTATTTCCCATATTTTGGAAATTTCCTTCAAGTGACAATCGCTGTGCTTACCCCCTTCGATGAAAACGTTCAGTGGAGCTAAAATGGTTTGTCTGAACGCCGAACGAACTTTGTAGCCTCGGATTTTGTACTTAATCACGCAATTAGCACTCATGTTCTAGTGATTTACCTCGAACACGAGGCCGTCGCCCGATAGAATGATCACACCATTGTACTTGCCAAGGTCATCTCTTGATCGAACCACCGATTTTGCGTGATTCGGGCCACCTGAAGGAAATATGTAAATTGCTGAATCATGGATACTCGTTCTCCTAAAGAGAGGAAAATTGGGAATATGTTCTTGAGATAAGAATAGAATATACCGATATAGAATCACCAAAGTAATAGTCAAGTACCGAAGGCAGAGATCGCGCTTCTAGTAATTTACGGGGTGAATTCAAAAGCTGAGAAGTTTTTAGGAACTGAGGAGTGGGTGCGCTTCTGATTACGTGTCTTCAGAAGGAGCAACTTCCGAAGAACCTGCTTCTTCTAGTTTATAAGATGAACCTAGTTTCGTCCTGAATTCCATGTTCCACTCTGTTGGCCACTTTGAAGGAAATCATGCTTTCACTCGGCCAAAGAGTGCGCCCAAAGGTGCACAAGGCGTACGTACACGAGCACTCAAGAATTTTTGAGGCGTTGAACCCAAATCTGGCGGTGAGCTAGCAATGCCTAACTCAGACAACTCACAACTCCGCCTGCCCCAATGGTGTAGGTACCATGATCTCTTTGCTTGCGTCCAAGTTTGGCTGCTTTTCATACTTTGCGCCGGTCGCACGCAAGGACCGTATGGAGAGAGTGAAAAGCGTCAACAGGCACTCTGACGCACGATGCGTTGGCGCGCAGTCGACGCCTTCCGATCGATAACCTTGATTCGGTGCATTTTCTCCTTTTTTTTTCGATGTTTTGTGGAGACGCCTTGCGTTCATTCATATTTTGTATGTAGTTCACACTTCGTCATTGTTACCTTTTTATGATAACTGATATTTTTCAGTTGCTCTGAACGAGTGGGCGTGGATTGACTGCGTGTGAACGTGGCTATAAGTCCCGCGTAACATATTAACAACGAAAAAACATGAATGAACGCAAGACATCTTCACAAAACATCGAAAAATGGAGGAAATGCACCGAAATCAAGGTTATCGATCGAGAGGCGCCGACTGCGCGCCAAGTACGCATCGTGCGCCAGAGCGCGTGTTGACGCTTTTCACTCTCTCCGCACGGTCCGTGCGGGACGGCACCGGCGCAAAGTATGAAAGCAGCCTTAGCCGGGTCTGCATTCCGTCGGAGGGGGAAGGGCATCTGCGGAAGCATCTTTATTTATTTATTTATTTGTAACGCTGCATAAGGCAGTCGTGAGAAACATACCAAGAACAATTTCAAATTGATGCTGTACACTTCTACTAACCATAGCTCAACAATTCCTTCTTCACGAGGCGTTTGAAAAGTAAAAAAGCAGGGAAGACAGGAGTCACTTTTGATTTTAGATTAATGAATATAGATCCAGCTCGACACTAAAGCTGTATCGCTTCAAGTTGGTTCGTGGCGTTGCATATGAAATCTTCTCCGATCCACCTCTAGTTTTTGATTTGACCCTTTCATAAAATTTGGATGCATCAACTCTGGCAATACCTGACAATATTTTGAATACCATGCAAACATCGTAAACTTTTCTGCGGGAATTTAAGCTGTATAATTCGTGCTGCTATTAGCAAAAAGGGAGAAGTTATCACAGTTATCAGTCCACATACTGAGTGGCGCCCTAAAAAATGAGGATGTCAAGACTGTAATAGTTTAAGTGGGATCCGATCTATCCAGTGTGCGGCATTACAACGGCAAAGCATATACAACAATGTCAATGAGCTCTTTTTGTTATAGACGAGAAAGTCCTAGATATAGGGAGAAGCACCAGTAGGGTGAGCAGTTCTCGTTCTCTTCGGGGTTCCTGCACACTCCTAGGCCTAGGGGTAATCTTGCCATAGGGAAAGATTTTGCGGTCCTGACATGTTGTGAAGTTTGCTGTTTAAAGGCAAGAGTTCGGGATAAAGTGAGTATGGAAAAACGTTCAATTATGAGTGGTAGTGGGAGGTGGTCTGGAAAAAGGTCAGAAGGCAAAGGAAACTCTCGATCACGCCCTGACCAGGAACCTTTTCTCTTTCAACCACTTTGGGATAAAAAGGGCACGTTGGACGAGTTCCATGAACCTAATACCAGTTCTCCAGTGCCAATGACATTGCTATAATATACAGGGTGGCCGAAAAGTATAGGACGCCATGTTTTTGTGTGTAAAAGCCAAGAAAGAGACTCGATCAGGAAACCGACTTCACACAAAGATAGAGTTAAGCTATTTGATCACTTGTGCAGAAGGTGCTTTGAATTTGACGACTCTGCTTTGAGAGGCCTTCTGACGTCCAACGACAAAATCAGCAGTGCGCCGCAGGTAGCCAACGGCGATGTCGTCCCACCTCTTCTGAAGCGCTAACTTCAGAGCACCCACCGAGCTGGAGAAGTCTTATGAGGTCTTGCTCTACAACATCCTCACATAGAGGAGTCCATCGGGTTAAGGGCCTGAGAGGAAGAAGGTCACAATTCCTTGCTCCAGTGGCCCGGGAAGTGAGCGCCCAGGATGGCTTTGGTCGATTTGAACGCGTATTAGGGAGCCCAGCTTCATTGAAGAGCAAACGATCATTGAGCAAAATGCTCGTAAATCCAGAACAACATACCGTACCTCATTAAAGTCTTTTGCAAGACCTTCGAGTTAATTTTAACATTTGTGGAAGATGAACTCCAATGGAGCTGCACTTTTGGATGTTACCCCGTCACAAACTACCACACCTTCGGGAGAAAGTCTGTTGTAAACTAGACGTTATCTCGGAGACTTGCTCTCACTTTTTGGCAACAACTGCCTCTGACTTTGGTGGTCGCAAAGAAGTTTAGTTCGAAAATTTTCTCATTAACCCAATCCGTAAGAGAGATGCGGCGCACCTCGAGCTCGTGCAGAAACTTTTTGCATTTTATCAGTTGAATCTATTCGGGTTGCTCCAATAAAAACCAGCATAGAAAGAGTCGGTAACCTCTTCAAATAATGATTGCTTCCCAAGATTTTCTGGAAGGAGTGACGGCAGATCCTGAGATCAAAAGCGATGTGACTCACGCTGGCTTCATCGTTGTGAGCCATCCTCTTCTAGGTGATTGCCCCAATCCTCTGAGTGTGCACAGTTCTTGAACTTCCACTTTTCGCAATCCCAGAGACGTGTGCTTGAACCTTGAGAGCACCGAACATGTTTCAAAGAGTTGAAGAGGGAATACCGAGTCGCTTTCCGAAGTTGCAATTTCAGAGACCGTCATTGGGCAGCCTCTTGGTAATGGGTCGATGCAAAAAAATCTTCATGGCGAGAGTTCAGATGAACTTTGGACCAAACAACTTATGGTGCTTCTTACATAGTTTCAAAGCTTTCGAAGAGTTTCGAAACACTCTGAAAATACTCCACGGCTCAGTGCCAGCAAGCGGTCAAAGCCGCGTCCTATACTTTTCGGCCACCCTGTAGGGTGTCCCAAAATTACTTGCGCCTGTTTATTGCAATGCCATTCAAACTTCTGAACAGAGAATGATAACTGAAACCAAACATAAACACACTGAGATCATAGACAACAACAAGCAACAATCAAATTTCAAAATGTCCCCCATCTGCTTGAATACAGGCCCGAAGTCTCTTCTTGAACTCTGCGCAGGTGGCACGCAGGTAGTCCTCATCCAATTCATCCCAGGCTTTCCTTAATGCTGCTTTGTCAGCGACTCCACATTTGGATGGCGAAGCTGACAGAGTGCTTCTTCCTAATACGGGACCCACCCACGGCGTAAGGCAATGGTTTAAGATCTGGCGAGCATGAATCGCCAGTCCTTTGCTAGCTCACATCGACAGCCAGTCTCTTGAACGAGTCTAGCCCTGTGGGCTGGGGCACTGTCCTGCTGGAAGCACCATGGCCTGTTTTCGAAGTGGGAATCAGACCAGGGCTTTAACACGCCTTCAAGTATGCTCGTCAGGTACACATCCTTGTTGATCTTCACGCCAGAGCGACGCCAACCAAGGGCGTCTTACCACTGACCGTGATTCCTCCCCACACCATTACTGAGGCCGGGTTCGCCGTCCTTCCAACAACTTTCCTTGTTATATGGCGCTTTCGATATCCTTGGCCAGGATGCGGTCGTTTTGGCGATTCAATACTGGCTCCACACAGCTATTGAATGTCGCAAAACGCCGATAAAACCATGAATATTCGTCCAGAAAAACTAACCCCGAGAGCTGCGTGTCACCAGTAAAGCGTGCTAGCAACCTTCTAGCCTTTTGGACTCTCAGTTGCTTGTTGCTTTCCGAAACGAAATGGCGCTTCTGCATATGATAGGAGCGGCAATGCAGTTTCCCCTTGACGATGCGCCACATCGATGATTTCGATACACCTCAGCTCCTTTGCCATCTTTCTGATGGAGCGTCGTGGATTGCGAACGAACTCGAGAACGAAACCACTTTAACTACTCTAGGCGTGGAAACGCTGACCTTTCGTCCCCGTCCTGGCTTGTCCATAAGTGAGCCCTGTTTCCCGATATCGTTTAATTGGCCATTTGTACAGTCCTGAGAGGAACCGCAAGAGATCTAAGCGATATGCTTCGAAGTAGCCCCTTCCTGGTGCATGCGAATAATCGCACGTCGCATTGGATGAGCTCTTGCCATCCTAAAGATAGTGTGCAGTTTCAATCCAATTACAATCCAGTTTGCAAGAAAACCTACCTCTGCAACAAACTAGCAGCGCGCGAAATGTATATGATCGATATTTCTTGTCTAAGGATTTTTTGAATATTGGCGCTTGTAATTCGGGACAACCCTGTATATATGTATAGTATATATAATATACATACAATAACAGTAAACACGAACTGGTAATGATGACGTCGTAGTCGATGTGATTTTTCTTCAGTTGCGGTTCGACACGACCGTGCAGCATGGCTAAGCTCTTTCCAGAGCCCGAGTTCGGATTGACGAAGACCAGCACTCGTCTTACTGCTTGTGATTCTGCATCTGAAAAGGGTGCTCAGTTATCAAAAGAAAGGAATAAACTTTCGAGAGTCTGAATGATAGCAGAATAACCACGATTTAAGAGGTCGCATCTCGTTTTCACGGATCACTGAATTACAGTTCAGAACTATTTCACGGTTTCAGTGAATTTCAAGAAATATCAGTCAAGCAATCAAACTTAGCAATCAAAAAGGATGGAGCGAGAAATCACTATCACGCAGTTTTTTTCCTTATTTCGATATTCAGAAAGTAGTCTTTGGCACATCTCCTAGGGTTTCAGGTCGTTCTGCGTTTAAAGATCGAATTCAATCAAAAATGAAAATCTTGAACTGGAAGCAGGTGTCGGAAAAGCATGCACATAGCTTCAACCAAACCGCGTCTCTGTATGACCCGCAGTAGCAAAGGGATGAAAACCACATTGGTGAAAGACCTAATAGTTTTGTCGACAATAATTAGGTTGTCCAGAAATCAATGAGGTTTCGATGTGTCATAATTTATTAGACATTTTTTCGAAAAATTTTCTTTCGATTGCTGTACTGTTGCACGTCGTTGAGAAGCCCATTTCATTCTCTTTCTTACTGCTGTTGTATTTTGAAAGGACTCGGGCCTCACTTTTTTCAAAGGTTTGAATCGAAGGCGTCAAAGTAGTGGTTTGAGCAGGTTCACTTCTATGAGTTGAAATTTGGAGAGGTGCTGTGCAGACAGCTCGGAATAGGATTGCTGTGTGGGGCTAGGATGTTACAATAAATGCACACTGCTTCAATGGCTCCGAAGCTTTCAAGTTAGGGAACTCTAGATTCGAAGTGAGGGTTACGGACGACATTCTCCTCTTGACGGCAGCCTTCTGAAGACCCGGCAGAAGAAGATTTCCAAACAAGTGTACGGCAGCCAGCAGCATAACCTTGAGCAAGCGTACTGAAATTTTCGGAGCGCCTGAAGGTACTTGGGAAGGTAAGAAAGCTGGACAAGTGGGTACCGCATGAACTGACTGAGCAGCAGCAAAGTCACTATCAGGGATCTTGTCACAACTCTCACAATAAATGCACACTGCACCAACGGCTGTGAAGTTTTCGATGTAGGGTACTCTAGATTCGTAAGTGAGGAGGTTACGGACGACATTCTCCTCTTGACGGCAGCCTTCTGAAGACCCGGCAGAAGAAGATTTCCAAACAAGTGTACGGCAGCCAGCAGCATAACCTTGAGCAAGCATACTGAAATTTTCGGAGCGCCTGAAGGTACTTGGGAAGGTAAGAAAGCTGGACAAGTGGGTACCGCATGAACTGACTGAGCAGCAGCAAAGTCACCTTTCAGGGATCTTGGCACAACTTTTTTACTCAACAAAAATGTCCGACTCTGGAACTTTTCGTCATCCTCGACGGAAATAGGACCCTTCGCTATAGAATAGAGCAATTTTCCAAAAATCTAAACAGCTACGAACATCAAAAACTTTTTCCAAAGTAGAATTTCTACAAGGTGAGGACCATGCTGATGGTTTCGTGGCCTTCCGGAGTAATGATGCATCGCAGCTTTCTGAACTTAGGTGACTTGATAGAGTATCAATGTCTGTCCATAACACCGACGTGATGCTAA